AAGTTTGTTGAACACCTGGGAATTGACCATCGGCTGACCACACTCTACCATCCAAGAGTGAATGGTGTGGCTGAACGACATGTACAGGAAACGATACATATCTTGCGGAAAAAGATAGAAGGTGCTGGCAAAGACTGGGACTACTATGTTCCCAACACACAATTACACATCAATAGTCGCATAACAAAACGACTCCAATCCTCGCCTTTCTCTCTTATGTTTGCAAGACGATTAAATGACTTTGTGGACTACCGCTCAAGAAATGCTGTACCGAAAGATCCAATGACACATGAAGACTTGATGAAGCGTGTGGAACACATGACGGATATTGTGTTTCCGGTACTCCAAGAGAAAGTGAAGCATCATGGTTCCAACATGAAGGATAAATTTGATACCAAGCACAGACTCATGGATTTCCCAGAGCAAAGTCACGTTATGGTCAAGGTACAAAATAGAGCTGGTGAATTAGCTCCTATTTATGAAGGCCCATACACTGTTCTGCGCAAGACGCAAGGTGGATCATATGTTCTTCAAGACGAAACTGGTGCACTTATGCCCAGAGACTTTTCGCCCTCTGAAATGAAACTGATCAACGTAGATGATGTGGTTCCTGAAGATGAACTGTACGAAATTCAGGCCATTATTGATCATAAAGGTCCTAGAGGCAAACGCGAATACCTTGTAAGATGGAAAGGTTATGGTGCCGAGGATGATCAATGGCTCACCGCTGATAAATTTACCGACCCTGCATTCATTATGAAATATTGGAACAGACGTGGATCAAACGAGACAGAAATGAATCTGCCTGAAGATAAGTCTGTGAAACGCAAGGGTAAAACACAAAACGTCAACCCCAGACGTAGTAAGCGCAATAGACAATAAGTGGTGGTTCTCAAAAGATAATTCCATACTAAGCGCATAAGTCTCTGTAATTCATGAGCTAGTCTTTTCCTCATGTATTTTTTCCCACAGGGTTTTTTAGAGGTTTTTACCGACATGACCATGTAACAGAGCCTGCTTCAACCTGGAGGGGGGTAATGTCATATAGGTAGGGTCCATATACCACTACATAAGAATTACCTCGGTTTAAGCAGATAAGAGACACTAGAGTAGTTACACACTATTTGTACATTCAAATCCCGATACCAGTTATTATCTTTGAATACCAGATACTAAAGAGATCATCTCTTTCGCGAATAAACAACAGTCTCACCGTACTCAACGTCTCTATCCATCTATATCACACAAACGCCTCCACCTGACTTGGACCCCACAAGAAACTCTGATTCTTGCTGAGCAACTTAGATATGGGCTGCACAATCTCGGCATATCTTGCGATAAACTTCCTGTAGTAACCGGCAGTTCCCAAAAATGATCGAATCTCGTCCTTGCTCTGCAGTGTCACCATGGTTAATGCCTTCTCCACGTTACGCTTCATAGGCAGCAATCCCTTGTTTGTCACTAAATGACCCAGGTACTCTATGCTCTGGCGTGCAAAGTGACACTTCTCCAATTTCAATCGTAAATTTGCCTCCTTACATGCTTCAAAAACCAGTCGTAGATGCTCCATGTGCTCGCCCAACGTCCTCGAGTATACAATGATATCGTCAATAAAAACATAGATGAATTGTCCTACTGTAGGTATGGGAACAGAATCTTCGTCATCATTCGCTGAAAAGTTGCGGGCGCTGACGTCAGTCCAAAGGGCATCACCAAGAACTCAAAGGTACCATGCTTCATTACAAATCCAGTCTTCCTGATCGATTCTTCGGCCATCGGCACTTGCCAGTACCCGCTAGCCGCATCTAGCGTCGAGAAGTACTGTGCACCACCAATGGAATCCAGGAGGTCTTCAATATGTGGAAGGGGGAACTTGTCCTTCAATGAAATCTTGTTGAGCTTCCTATAATCGATGCACAAACGTAGGCTTCCGTCTTTTTTTCTCACAAACAGCACCGGGGATGACCACGATCCGTCGGATTCTCGAATTAGCTTCATCTTCAACAGTCGCTTCAACTCTTCGTCTAAATGCTTGTCTTCTTCCCATGTGTGTCAGTAAGGCCGGCTGACTATTGGCTTCTCTTCACTCGTCGGAATTACATGTTGTACTCCTGTGACACGACCAAGCTCCGCGTTCTCCACAAAACAATCTTTATGGTTGGTCAACAGCTTCTTAATCTCAGGATATGTCTGCTCTTCTTCTTTCTCTTCTCCGTCCGGCATGATTTCTTCTATATATGACTTTAATACCGCGTTGTCCGTCTGTCTCATCTGTACCGTGTAACACTTGACCATTCATCCATCGCTCTTCTCTTCTATGGTGCCTGTCACCTGCATTGCACCAGCACCTTGCTTCATCAGAATTATGATCTTGCCAGACTTCAGTTCAGCTTGCACCTCGTACTGACGGAACCATGTGTTTCCCAGTAAGCACAGGTCGTCTTGCGCGTTGGTAATCACCATGTGTTCTGGCCTAAGTTTTCCGCCAATGCGAATGGGAACCATCGCTGCCACAGGATATAGTTTTGACACATTTCCATCCACGGACTCGATCATAATATTATTGCGGGTTACTTCCAAGCCAAAACGATCTGCCAAATTCTTGCTCAACATGGAAACACCAGAGCCCATGTCGAATGTCGCTTCTATCTTCTCGCCGCCGATTGTGACAGTTCCTTGCAATGGCGTGCTCTTACGTAGGTTCTCCGGATTATACTCGTATTGGTACTCTGTATCGTCACTATCGTGGTCTTCTCCTAATGATTCTTCTTCCCAGTCAGAGTCCACCTCGCTTCGATCACTTGCAAATGATTCCAAGTCCTCTTCGCTATCATTTGCAAAATCCACTTGTGCATACTGTACTCATACCGGTTGTCCTTGGTCCTTCTTCCTTGGTGCTCGTCCATGTGTCCCACGAATTCCGTCCTGCTAATCCTTGGCTGCTGCTGATGACAACTTCACCCAATCGGCCAAGCTCAAACCAGCATTGACTTCCTTCATATGCTCCCAGATGTCTTTCTCGGGTAAGTCGACCATCAATCGTCATAACGGCTGTCTCTTCTTTTTCTGGGCTGGCGTCCTGTCTTCCTTCATAGCGTCTTCAAGCGCCTTCGCTGTTTCGGTTGCACTCAGTCGCTTAGATAACATTTCTGCATCCTTACCTTTCTTTGTCACTCTTTGACTCGACGCTGACCCAGTCGTAGACAATGCTCTCTTCTGATTAAAGACCTTGACACCCTTCACCAGATTGCACTTTGTCATTCCATCGGATTCTTCATTCTTCGGGGGCTGGGGGGTTCTTGCTTCCTGGACGGCAGTATTTCCCTCTACTGTCGTCCCGTTTCTTTTCCCTGTTCGTACAGTCTTGGCTTCGGTGGCTCGGGACACCTTCTCATGATGTGGCCCACATTGTCACAGTTGTAGCACGTCAGCTCACCAGCTGGTTGTCTCGGTTGTGCCATGTTTACACGCAAGGCTCGCACTTCTTTGGCCAACTCGTTCATTGCCGTAAACATGCTGTCACCGCTCAGACTCGCAGTATCCGAACTTGGGTGTTTCTCAAAAAGTGTCTTGCTATGGTCAACCTTGGAATCTTCTATCTTCGGAATCAGTTTCTCCTCGAAATCACCTATGTTATATTTATTTTGGATCCGCTCAAAATGTCGTGCACATTCCACCGCTTCGTCCAGGCTATTGGCCTTGCCTTCCTTCGCCACCTCGTACGATATATTTCGGTGGATAATTCTCATGAAATATTTCACCTTGGTACATTCGTTCATTTCCTTGATGAGTTCGAAAATGTCGTTTAACCAAAATGTGATATCTTCTACCATTTCGTGATTTGCCTGTTTTCGATCATCCAATTCGTTTTCCCATTTCTCGATCAAGTCGTCCGACGTGTACCGTTCCAGGAAAATTTTTTTAAACTCAGTCCATGTCTTGATGTTATCTTCATTCTGATCCCACCAGGATCCTGCACGTCTATGAAGATGCGTCGCCATCATGTTCAAGGCATTCTTGTCACTCATGCCTGTACCCTTCTTGATTCTTCTTATCGTCTTCACCCAGGTGTACAGATTCTCGGTACTCATGCCGCTGAATGGCTCGGGGGTTGCCATGAATCTCATCATGTTCATTGCGTCCATTTTCGTTCTTAAAGTCGTTCCAGTGATGTTCTACGCCACGAAAACAATGTAAGTTGCGCCCAGCTTCTCCACCAATTGATACGTGGGGTAGGTCGTCTATCGTAAGGCAGGTAAATGGGGTAGGCAGGGCGTGTAAAGTTGCCTTGTTGTTGATAGAGGATAAGGATGTCTTCTTCAATTCCAAGCTTAATTACTGTGGTGTACTTGACTTCCGCTTAGATAATTTCTTCTCTAAATTATCTCTCCCGTAGCTGGTCACTTCCTTGACAGAGTACAATAAAAGCTTTCTTAAAACCGAAAAAGGTCCCTCTTTATTCTTAGAGAAATGAGGATGAATTTATACTACTTCTTTAATTTTAAACTACCGCTTCTGTCATTTCCAAATTCGGTAGCCTTATATCATCGATTCTGATTGGCTCATTCAAAGTCACGTGAAATTCAGTGACTTCGAACTCCACCACCACAACTACAGTGACCAGCAAAACTGTTCGAATGTTTGCATTTTTTATATAAATCATCTTATAATTTTATGAAAAATCAACCTATAAGACTGCTCTTTACAGTTTTGGAAAGAGGTGACTGTCTATTTTCAGAATCATATTTTAGAATTCCGAAATACCGATTGTAGCACGAGTAATCTGATGATCAAAATTAGAGGTACACTTGAACAGTTTTGCATGCATCGGTCAAATTTTTAAATTTTGAACCCACAACTTCATCAGAGTATCCTAAGAGCTTATAATAAATCCTAAATGTAAGCTAATCTCATTCTCAAACTTTCGGCTAATTATTTAACCATCACAGTAAGTACATTTGAAGATTTATCCAACTATGCATGCAATCTCGGTAGAACAGCAAAACTCTATCATTTCATTTCTGAAATCTGGGAAATCTGGCCGTCAAGTGGCTAAGGAAGTTGGTGTTAGCATTGGTACTGTCTCTAAGATAAAGAAGATCTATTGTCCAGATGTTCAAGTATCTAAAGGTGGTCGTCCCAATATGCTTACCAAGGTTGACAAGAGATACTGTGTTCATCAAATTACCAAAGGTCGTCTGGATAATGCTGTTAAGGTGCAAAAACAGCTTCAATTGGATCACAGCATTACTGTTAGTGTTGATACAGTCCGTAGAGCTTTGTATGAATCTGGTCTGGGTGCCTTTGAAAAGGAGAAGAAACCGATGATTTCTGCTGCTAATGCCAAAAAACGACTTGCCTGGTGTTATCAATATCGCAACTGGACCTTGGATGATTGGAAACGTGTTATTTGGTCAGATGAGACTAAAATTAACCGTTTTAACTCTGATGGACGTGTCTGGGGATGGATCCGTGATGGTGAAATGAAGCAAGCAAGACATGTCAAGCCTACTATCAAGCATGGAGGAGGTAGCATCATGGTGTGGAGCGCTATTACATATGCTGGACCTGGCTGGTTATGTCAAATCAATGGCCACATGGACAAGACCTTGTATTGTGACATTTTGGATGATAAACAAAAGAAGACTATGGATTTCTTATGTCAACAATATGGATTTACCAAGGATCAAATTGTTTTTCAGCATGATAATGATCCTAAACACACTAGTTACTTGGTCAAAGACTACCTTCAGCAGCAAGAGTATAAGATAATGGTTTGGCCTCCACAATCACCAGACCTGAATCCTATTGAAAACATGTGGTCTCTCTTGAAAATCCGGCTAAATGAATATGACACACCATCCAAGGGTATGCAAGAGCTTTTTGAACGAGTCACTGATATTTGGTATAAAAAAATCACCAAAGAAGACTGCCAAAAGGTTATCAACACAATGTCTGATCGTATTGAGTTGTGTATTAGAGCTAAGGGTTACTGGACAGGATATTAAATAGTTAAAATCTTAAAATAAAGAATGCATGCAAAACCGTTCAAGTGTACCTTTAATTTTGATCATCAGATTACTCGTGCTACAATCGGTATTTCAGAATTCTAAAATATGATTCTGAAAATAGACAGTGAGGAACAGCCACTACCCTCAGAACGTATCATGAATGTTGACGACCACACAACATCATGATACCACACCCATAGACAAGTAGCAACACTTCGTTTATGCTACCCACGTCAGCGCCTCCTCTGACCATTTTAATTATTTAGTGATACAGCTAATTTTATAATGACACAATAATTTATTTTTTATAATTTTTTAAATTAGAATAAAAAATATTGAATTTTTGTATCTTTAGATATTATATATATTTTTTTGATATATTATATTATATTATAATGATAACGATAGTTCCTCAGTCACCTCTTTCCAAAACTGTAAAGAGCAGTCTTATAGGTTGATTTTTCATAAAATTATAAGATGATTTATATAAAAAACACAAACATTCGAACAGTTTTGCTGGTCACTGTACCACCGTTTGGCCTGTCTCCAGATCCGCTGCTTGGTCACCTTATCAGCATCTTCTGGATACGAACCGTCCAAGATGAAGTAGTAAAGCGCCACAAACCAAGCAAAAGATATCGCCATTTCATGAATTACCAAGGTACGCACAATTGGTTTTAACTGGGGGTAGGAGGCAATAGTTAGAACCAAAAGGATCCTCTTCCTCTTCTATATTGAGTACTCCAATAACTCCCAATGATAGACTTCAATCAACAAGAATGAGAATTTATCAATGAATAAAGATAAAAATCGAGCAATAGGAATAAGGATAAAGGGTTAAAAATCCCGAAGAGAATAAAGATGAGAATCAAAGGATAAGAATAAAAAGATAAGAAGAGATCGAAGAGATTGCCTTCCTTCCAAATAAGAAAGGACTTCAAAGAAAATACAGACATTTCTAAACTACTTTTCTTCTATCCAAAACTAAAAGTTTTTCTAGCATATGAGACTAAAATTCGAAAATCATTAAAAGAAAATCAATCATTTTCTTCATCGTCGCAAATCAGACGAGAAAGCGCATCCGCGGGATTGTCCTTTCCCTTGCAATATTGTATGTCGAAATCATATTCTATCAAGCATGCCGCCCAATGCAAGAGCTTCGATGTCGTCTTGCTAGGCTTAAAGATGTACTGTACGTAAGACTGGAATGGTCGGTAAACAATACAAATCTTCTCCCCTTCAAATAATGACAGAAATGATTATACCCCAGACTACTCCAAGAGCTTCCAAATGGGTTGGCACATAATTTTTCTCACTGCCATGCAGACTTCTAGACGCATACGCCACCATATGCTCGTCTTCCAAGGTCTTGGCATCTTTAACCTGCGACAGCACAGCACCCAAACCCAGAGTGCTAGCATCCGTAGATAACACCTGCACCTTCTCCTTGTCAGGAAACGCCAACAGAGGGAATTCTGTAAGGATCTCGATAAATTTGCGAAAAGCTACTTCCTGTTCTGCCCCCCAAACGAATCTTGCATTCTTCTTCAACAACCTGGTTAAAGGCTCCGTGATCGTAGCATAGTCTTCGACGAAACGCCGGTAATACCCAGTTAACCCAAGGAAGGAACGGACATCGTCACAATTCGCTGGAGTAGGAAACTTCTTCACTTTTGCTACATTATGGTCGCCAGGACGCACACCATCGACGGTCACTGTATGCCCCAAGTACTCAATACTTCGCTGCCTAAAATGGCACTTCTTTCTTTTCAGCTTCAAATTCGACCTTTCGCATGCTTCGAAAAGCAACGCCAGATGTCGCCTGTGCTCCTCTAAGGTATTTGAAAATACCAGGACATCGTCCAGAAAGATCACCAGAAATTTGCCCAAGTAATCAGCCAAAATGGACTGCATCATTTGCTGATAGCCGCCAACCGCCGTAGAGATACCAAAAGGCAGGACATTGAACTGGAAAGTCCCTTTTTTCGTCACAAAACCGGTACGCTCTGCATGCTCAGGATTCAAGGCCAACTGATGGTAACCGGAAGTACAATCCAGGCTAGAGAAATATTTGGCACCACCGATTGTGTCCAACAAGTCGTCAATGTGAGGTAGAGGATAAGCATCCTGTCTCAACATCTTGTTCAAACCACGGTAGTCAATTACCAAATGCATAGTACCATCCTTCTTGGGAATGAAGAAACAAAGACTAGCCCATCGTCCGTTAGAGGGTTCGATGACATTGAGATCCAACATCTCTTGCAGTTGTTCATCCAATTTTTCTTCCTCTTCCCACGTCATACAGAAAGGCTTTGACCTAATGGGAGATGCACCATCAATAAGATCCAAGTTCATCTCATAACCTACGATACGGCCAAGACCAGAGACTTCAGAAAAACAGTGCTTGTACTGTTCTATTACCTTGACCAGGGGAGTAGGGACACCAAGCGTAATATTCGTAGCATCGAACTTGACTTCTTCAGCTCGCGATTCTCCTAAGTCCTTTGCAGGCAACAAATCGTCTTGATACGAAACCATGTGCTTGTCACCAGCTTTCGCCAAGTACACCTCTCGTGCTTCATGCAACTTTGAGTCTTGATCCAAAACAACACCAGGCATCACAGGAGGAACACCAACCATACGACCAGGCACCTTAGTCATATAACCTTGCAGCTTCACACTGCCATCTAAAGTAGGCACTACAATTGTCGAATCCATGAGATTAATTTCGATACCGTATTCCTGGAACCAGGGAATTCCAAGTAAACATAAACAGTCTTCGGCACCTCTTCGTACACACATATGTTCGGGACGAACTTTTCCCGCCACACAAATAGGAACATCCATGACAACATCACTGTCGACACCAGAGAGGTCCTTCTTCGGATCGTGGTCGAAACCCACCAGTTTCAGACGATCACCATTGGGAACCAGACCCAAATAATCGGCTAAACCTTGGCCTATAACACTGACACTTGCACCAGTATCAAAAACGCATTCCACTGGATGACCACCAATCGTAATAGTTCCTTTAAGAGGGCAACTATTCTTCATTCTTTTCAGGCAGTAAGGATAATGGTACACCGACTCGTCGCTGCTACTGTATCTTCCGATTCCCCCTTGTCAACACTAGAGGCAGAAATAGTTTCCAGCGAACTTGTGGCGTCATCGGCAACTTCTTCTTCGGCAAAGGTCTCATCTGCACTCGACCCTTCTTGCTCTACCGCGCCGACTATATTGATCTTGTTCCTTTCGCTGGCTCGTTTCTTTTTCCTTCTTCCTGGATATAACGAATTCCATCAATTATATCCTGAGCAGCATCCTTATCGGTCGCTACCCATTGTGCTAAGGAAACACCAGCATTCGTATTCATCAACGTACGCCACATACTAGTCTTCTCAACCAGAACCGGTAACCTTCTCGCCTTTGAGCGCGTTTTTCTTTTGACAACAGGCTTACGCACAACCTGATCTTGGACCACCGCATCAACCGGAGCCTTCCCCTTATCCACCTGGGGGATCACAGGAGCACTCGATAAACCAACTGGAGCAACTTCGATCCTGTTTTCTTCCTCAGGATGGGCAACTTTCTTCCGTTGCACTTGGGGCCTTTCCGCCGCAGTAACCATGGGTGGCGCCTCAGCTCTTCTTTTGACGTTCTGTACCTCGTTAGCCGACACCAGACTCTTGACTTCGTCATGCACCGTATCGACCAACTTCACCTCGCCACCAGTTGAGGTCTTCATGGGCTTCTGTTTTTGGACGCCAGTCAGCCCATTCTTCACTGACGCCCCTGATCTTTTCCCGAACCAATCGGAGTAGTATTGGTTCCCGTCGCCGCTACAATTAGATCGCCGCCTTGTTTTTTTGATGGACATTGGAATTTTCTGTGACCCGGTTTTCCACACAGAAAACAAACAGGACCAGGTTTTTCTTTCTTCGCGAAAGTCAAAATCACGCTAGGATTTCCCGAACTCGCAGCATGCTTCAACTGAACATAGTTTACTTGCAAGTGCTCCAGCTTCTCCGTCAACAACTCAATAGTCGACCTGGCCGACTCCAGTTCGCTACGTTCAAACGATGCTAGGGAATTTCCCTCATAACCACCCGGAAAGCCGTGAGAGTCATACTTCTTGACTATGACCTCGATTCTTTTGGCCTTCGCTTTGGCTTCTTCCAGGTTTCGAGGTAATCCGTCTTTCTCAACTTCAAAAGTGATTTCTTTCTTGATCGCTCCAAGGAAGGTACGTACACGGAAGGACTGACTCTTGATGTCCAATAACATGAACAATTCTTCCAGTTTGACAGCCACGTCATCGACACTCTGCCTTGGACCTTGACATAACTCTTGTAGTTGCGTCCACCAACGATCTTCTTGGTCACCAACGAACTGTTTCTTGAAACCTTTTTCAAAGAGGAACAGCCACTACCCTCAGAACGTATCATGAATGTTGACGACCACACAACATCATGATACCACACCCATAGACAAGTAGCAACACTTCGTTTATGCTACCCACGTCAGCGCCTCCTCTGACCATTTTAATTATTTAGTGATACAGCTAATTTTATAATGACACAATAATTTATTTTTTATATTTTTTTAAATTAGAATAAAAAATATTGAATTTTTGTATCTTTAGATATTATATATATTTTTTTAATATATTATATTATATTATAATGATAACGATAGTTCCTCAAAGGTTTCCCACGTAGTGCACACCGAACCATAAACGTTCCACCAGCTTTCGGCCTTGCCAGTAAGATGGTCTCCTGCGACCAAAAGAATCTCCTCGTCTTTCCACTTAGACGATATTCTTAGTCTGGCCATCTTCTTCAGCCATGCAAGCGCCTCGTTAGAAATGTCATCTTCAGGATACTTTCCTTCACCGGAAAAGTCCTTCGGTTCGCACAGAAACTTCATCATCGTGCAGATACGTATCATTCGAGAAAGGAAGGGAAAAAGGGTTTTCTAATCTAAACTAATCTGACAGTAGATACTGATCTGGCAAGCCGGACCAAAATGATATGTGCAATCAGGGGTGTTGTGTCTAAGGTAAGTAATTTATAATAAAAACAGGAGCGATATCAAATGGTAAGACTGTAAAGAACCCAAGTAATATACTACAACAAAAAAAGGGAATACACAATTAAAAGGCTAGCTCTGCTAAAGGCTATAGCAAGAATATCTCTTTGATCAGGTAGGTTTATCAGAAATAAATTCCCAATAAGAATCCAAGATTGAGTAACATTTTTTATTAATAAAAGGGAAGACGCCCTCTAACCTCAGACGTTAGAACTGGCACACCTCCATGCCATTTTAACCACACCCATGGTCAAGTTACACTGCACTATACTTGTGTAAAGGGCACATTATCTAGTTATATATCTATTTATCTTTTTATATTTATAAATTAAAATCATTATTTTTTAATATTTATTATAACTATTAATAATCATTATAACTATTAAAGATAATGATTGTTTCTCATTAAGGACTAAGAATCCAAGGTTGGTCCTTTTTCAAGGTTCAAGGTTCGTCCCCCCTTTCTAAAGGAATTGATGAAGCGACCTTACAGTATATACAGTTCTACTTCCTATACAAGATCTTTCGATACAAGAATATCACAAAACTCAAACTAAACTGTTTTCCATCGTTTCGTCGATTCTACTTCTTTTCCATCATTCGCCAATCACGTGATCTAGCAACGATTACCAAGATCTTCAGGTCGCACCTCGAAAATTGGGTCGTTCTTCTCCGCCAATTTTCCCAAGACCTTCGCAAAGGCAAGAACAATCAACAACAATGTCATGGTATAATATTCAATTATCGGGTTTCAGTGTCGACACACATTCACCCTAGAATATTTCAAAAAAGGGTGCGGCCTTAGCTCAGTCGAAAATGTATAAGTTTATTAGAGGAATGGACGATCGGCCTTGGGGAAAGCCCTCTACAGACCAAACCTCAGGTGAACAGAAGGAGAAAAAAGGGGAAAACGAAAAAAACACCCATCGAGTCGCAAGAAAGGTGAAAAAGGAAAAAGATGGGAAAGGAAAACAAAATAAAATCTAAAATGAAATTACAGGAGGGATCCGCTAGCTAGTAAGTAACCTTTCAACACCATGGTCTTTCTCTGCAACGTGCTTAATGGTTGTCGCAGTGGGAGGAAGAGGCCAGAGGGAGATCCGGGCACTGTTCACTAGGGCCAGAAACAAAAAGATCGAGCCAGACTTGGCTGGGAGTAGGATCGGTGGTGTAGTCACCGTCGGGATTGCAGAGTTGATCAATATGCCAAAGAATAGTGCAAAGATCCGACCAGAAACGAGGTGGCGCAGCAGAGCGGGAAGTGGGCAACAGGTTCAAAGCGTAATTGATACGAACCCCAGTAAAATCTGATGGCGGAAATGGGAGGCTGTACCAGAGTATGGATGGGATCTTAGGGCAAAGCATTAAATGCTGCCGTTTGGTATCACCAAAGCCGCAAGCACAGGGACGAGGTTTACCTGGCAACCAACCCATTCGCCATCGCACAAGGCGACTGCGGTCAGGCCGAGAGGCAGGAACAAAGAGGACAGGATCAATTTCGAGTGAAGATCAGCACGCACGAATGAGCACACGATCGGTAGAAGCAAGAAAAGCGGTAAAATGAGTCTGGTGATATTGACGCAGCCAAGAGACAAGACGGGAATTGGAGGAGTCATCCGCAGGATGATCAAGAACAATCTGTCGCTGACGGAGACGGGAGAGAAGAGACAAACGAATGGAAGGTGAAAGGAGTGTGAGGAGGCAATCGTCTGGAAGGTATTCAGTACAAAGGCAGAATTTTAACACCAGAGTGTCAGCACGGAAGGACATGTTGGGAAGGTTACACATGTGCTTGAGCACCTGGGTTGAGGAAGTCCGATGACCACCAATGATCATCCGGAGACAATGATCTTGCACACGTTCGAGTTCGGCATACTCTTTTTTGAGCAGGTGAGAAATGGCCAAACCATACTCGAGCTTGGGGCGGATGAATGCAGCGTAGATACGCGTACAGAAAAGCAGCAGAAAACCATTACGGTTAAGGCCCATGGCGTTTAACTGGGACATTGCAAGAAATGTACTTTGCGCATGGTGACGGATCATGGAAGAGGCATCGATACCTTTGGAACGGAATGGCACACCAAGGTAGACAAATTCGTCAACAGGCGGGAGGGACTCATTGTACAGACTTAAACAAACATAGCTGCAGGAACTGGGTACCAGTGCATTAATGATGGCACATTTGGATGGACTCCATTTGTAACCAAGAGCAACCGAGTGAGCCTCAGCAAGCGACAGCATATGTTGGACTTCGCGAGCAGACCCAATGAGGGCCACATCGTCCGCATACAACAGACAGTTGATGGGAGTGGGCGAAGGATCGGACGAAGCAGTGGACGTGGGGCCAAATGGAAGACCGAAAGGTGAGGAAGCGTTGTAGGGTGGCGGACGAGAAGGCGAACAAGAGAGAACAGAAGTTGTAGATCGGGAAGCAGCGGAACGGAGGAGAACAGGCAAAGTGTTGATATAAATTGAATAAAGGAACGGACTGAGGACTGAGCCTTGAAGGACACCAGTTGCAGGAACGAAAGGAGAGGAGATGTGGTTGCTGAGGAGAACTGTGACTGAAACATCGTCAAACATGTGGGCGAGAAGGGACACCAAAGCCGGAGGAGCAGAAAAAGAAAGGAGAGTTTGCCAGATAACTCGTCTATCGACGGTATCGTAGGCGGACTTGATGTCCAGAAATGCAACAACAGGATAATGGTTATGGTGATCGCGGTAGGCGCGCATCAAGTCATGCAAGCAGAGGGCTTGATCCAACGCACTACGTTGATGCCAGAAGCCGCCTTGGGACACATCAAGGGGAGGAGCAGCGAGTTCCACAAAGGGCTGGAGACACATTTCGAAAAGTTTTCGGATGATGGAAGTCAGAGAAATCGGGCGGTAATTGCTGGGAAGGGAGGGATCGCCTTTTTTGTGGATCAGAACGACTTGCGCTTCACGCCAAAGGGAGGGAACGTATGCCCATTGGACACAGAGGTTAAACAAAAAGGAAAGGAGGGGGGAAAGCACAGACTGGATGGGCATAAGCATCTCAGAACGGATATGATCCGATCCGGGAGCTTTTCGCCGAGGGAGTCGATCCAAAGTCTTGGCAACTGTATCTGGAGTAAAGAAAGGAACGTGAGGGGTGGATGGGGAAATAGCAAAAGGAAGGGAAGATGTGGATGGCGGCAAAGATGGTGGGCGAGACAAGGGTAAACCCGAACCAGAATATACTGAGGCCAGGTGATCACGCATGGCTAATGCACCAGCGGCTGGACCATCAGGGTGGGTGAATTGGACTTGTTGGCGGCGGCGGTTTCGGATGGACTTGATCGTGGACATCGCTTGGGGGAAATCCCCACGAGCCACAGTATCACAAAAAGCATGCCAAGCTTGCCTTTTCGCGCGGCGGACGGCGGTTCGAAATCGTCGGGCAGCCTGTTGGTGTTCATCCCACCAGACAGCTTTGTCAATGCCAATGGCACAACGCCACTGCCGGTAGGTGCGATCTCGATGGTCAGCCATGGTTTGCAAGTCAGCATTCCAAAATGACTGCCATTGACGGGGCCGAGGGTCACGAGTACCAACCAATTTATCCAGAGCGGAATAAATGGCGGAGTTGAGGTTGTCATTGAGTTGATCAATGGGTGGTCGGGTGGCGGGTGGATCAGAGGAGAGCTGTTGAAGCTTCTCATGTAGTGGTTGGGAAAAGGAGCGGAAAGAGGCAACGTACAGCTGGTGGACATCAAGTTCTTTAAGACGAGAGAGGTTCCAGAGACGGCGGGGAGATGGTGAAGGAGTGTAGTAATCGGCGGATGGATCAGGAAGAGTATATACAAATGATAACGACATTAACTTGTGATCAGATCTGAGGGAAAGATCAGAGAAGATATAAAGGGATGAGTGGGGAAGCGTGGGGAGGTTGGTGAGGAAATAATCGACGATACTGCTGTGGACTTGGCTGTTGCGGAAAGTGTGATACGTGGGTATGCCGTAAGCGAGGGAAATATTTAGAATTGATAATGAACGTTCGGTGACCCAATCCTGTAGTAACTGGCCACGTGGATTGCTGATGCAATCTCCGGTGACAGTACCAAGGCGGGCATTCAGGTCTCCACAAATGATAATATCATCGGCAAGCAGAATAGAGGAAAGAGCTGTAGAAACAGCGTCAAGAGAGAGGGTGGGGGGAAGGTAAAGACAAACAAGGCGAAGAGAGGAACCCAAGTGGAGGCCAAGCGCATACTTTGTGGCCAAGGGGAAAGGAGTGACAGTGAGCGGAAAATCTGGGGAAACAAGGGCAGAAACACCTTCAGAGCCACGAAAGTTGCCAGCTACAGAGGTGCCATAATTATGGTATTGTGACCAGGAAGTACGAAGCTTGTTGGGAGAGAGGAGCCAGGTTTCGGTGATAAAAACAATTGAAAAGGAATGACAATGGCGGAGGAGATCGTCGACCAGGGAAACTTGGAGACCATTGGCATTCCACAGGCCGATGTTGAGAGGAATAGTGGGCGGGACAGAAGAAGAAGGAAGGGAAAGAGCATTTGAAGGAATGGAGGGAGGCTGTTCTATCATTATAATGATTTTTGAACGTCTTGCATATCATTGTCAGGGTCGGTGGAGGACTTTTGCTTCTGACCGGTTGGGTTGGCTGGAGAGGCGGGGGCACCACAGCATTGGCCTAAGAGTCTGGGTAGATCAGAGTCTTCCAAGATGTTGGCCTTGACAAAGGAGCGCGCAACGGGGGAGGCAAGATGGTACGGAAGGTGAGTCACTGCTTTTTCACAGCGTGTGCGATACAAATCGAACACGAAGGCTTCCTGATGTTCGGTAGACATGGCTTTGATTTCAGGATCCGCCAGGATACTAATATCCAAAGGATCAAAGTTTTCCAACGGTTTGATTTCGGCCTTGGTGAACTGGGCCATGGCAAAGTCGAAGTACTGCTCATGGACAAGAAGTCCAACGACAGCACGGGCAGGGAAACAAATGTCTAGGACACGGTAGGGATCGATGCCGAGGCGGCGAAGACGGGTTCTCGTTTCCTGACGAGTCAGGCGGCGAGAACGGGGAACGTAAAGGTATTTAAAGCTGGAAAGGCCCAGAAGGGGTCTGGAAAATGCGAACATCAGCAGGTCGGAGACGGGTGGTGTTAGTGGGGCGCTTTTTTTTAGTCACAACAGCCCAGGAGGAGGCATCAGAGCCCAATGGTGGGCGGGGAGAAGAGGAGGCTGGGAGGGGTTCGTTGGTTAAAGTGGCAGGTGCCGACTTTGGTTGGTGCTGTTGCTGAACTGGAGGATCAGAGGCAAGGGAAGCAAGGCGGGTTTTGAGTTCGGCCACTTCATTGCGAAGTTGGCGGTTTTCAGTAGCGAGTTCGCGGAACTTTGCAAGTTCGGCGGCCTGGTTTATAGTGGTCACTATGAGCGTGTTAATTTGGGCCTGCATAGCCTCAAGTTGGGCAGCTAAGTTTTTGGACATGCTGGGAGTCTGTTGCGCCGTCGGGGCTACAAATAAATTCAGGTGGTTCGGGTCAGCCAGCACGCTTGGGTCGGACGTCGAAAAGAAAGGGGGCACTTGGGAACGGGGCAAGTTACTGAAAGCCGTGTTGCTGCTTATTGTTGGATTTAGTTTTTACACAATTGTGGATGACTGGACAACAACGAAGATTTGGGCTGGATGTTTTGATATACCGTACGGCTACAATGAATGTACGATATGTCAAAGGATGGGCGATGGATGGATAGGTTTGTAGGGCGGATTGAGCTATCGAGATTCCGGCAAAAGGTTTTTCCGCTATAAAAATGAGAAAAAAGTGATGAAGAGCAGAAAAAGGGTGCGGCCTTAGCTCAGGTTAAAGATTATTTTATTAAAAGACTTGCAAGCGTTATAAAACTTTGGTTGCCATCTTTTGGAGCATCAGTGGGGTGGAGGCAAAAAAGTCCTGGGAGCCAGGAGGACAAAAAAGGAATGGGAAAAGAGAGTGGGGACGAACATAATGGCGCCTTGATCTGACGATGAGGTCCTCTCAGCAGCTGCACTAAAGGTTGTGGCAGTGTGAGGGAGCAACACCGAGACAAACTCATTGCGCGTCATTCAATGGATGAGAAGCTTGTTGCCAGTATTGGGCAATATCAGTTGGGGGCGGGTAGTCGCCATCTTGGTTACACAGGCATTCAATATGCCAAAGGATTACAGCAAGGGCCGGAAGAAAACTGGGACAAGGAGCCGAGGATGATTTTGGTAAAGCTGAGAGTGCAAAATCTATGGGATGGTGGTTACCTGTGTTGAGGGGTAGGTCATCCCAAAGAGAGCTGGGGATAGCACGGCAATATGGGAAATGGCGTCGTGATGTGTGGTCATTGAGACAGGGACAAGGTTTGGGTTTCCCTGGGAGCCATCCCATGCGCCATCGTATGAAACGACCGCGGGTGATGCGACATACGGGTAGGTAGAGAATGGGGTCAACTTGGAGAGTGGGGAGACAGGCGCGGATCAGCACCTAGTCCGTTTGGGCAAGAAATTCGGCAAACAATTGCTGGCGATCATCGTGAAAGAAGGAGCGAAGGCCAGGCAGAGGTGATGGTAATGAGCGGTAGAGACGGTTGTTATAGAGATCAGTAGAGAGGCGAGTATTGTTTACCGAGGCTTCCAGTAGTCTGAGGAGACAAGAGGTGGGGAGTTTGGTAGCTCGGAGACAATATTTAGTGATCAAGATATCGATACAGTGGCGCATTGAAGGTAGGTGGCAAATGTGACGGAGGACAGTAGTAGAGGAAGTAGGATGGCCACCGACAATCATTCTTAAGCAGCGGTCTTGTAGTTTTTCAATGGCACGGTAGTCTTTCTTTAAAAAGGTGGATATTGCAAGCCCATATTCAAATTTGGGTCGAATGAATTGGGCATATAGGCGGGAGCTAAGAAGGAGAGAAAAACCGGAACAGCATGCACCGATCGTATGGAGAGTAGACATGGCCAGGAGTGTGGGGGGTTGGCGGTAGGCAATTAAAGCAGAGGTGGAGATACCAGAATGACAGAAGGGGACTCCTAAATAGACAAATTCGTCTACTGATGGGATCGGTTCATTATAGAGGGTAAGCGCAGGACGGGTGTCAGTGCTAGGGTGGTTAAGGATGGCACATTTAGTTGGGCTCCAACGGTAGCCGAGGAACAGAGAGTGGTAGTCAGCTAGGTCGAGCATCTGGCGAACTTCATGGTAAGAGCCAACCAGGGCGACATCATCAGCGAAGAGTAGACAGTTGATGGGAAGAGAAGGGCGGAAACGAGGGTGAACAACTATGGAGTGGTCCTTAGCAGCATTACATAGGAGAGACGGTAGAGAATTAATGTATATAGAGTAGAGGTGTGGGCTAAGTACGGATCCTTGGAGCACTCCAGTAAGTGGCACAAACGGTTGGGAGGTATGGTTGGATAGAAGGACAGCGATAGTAACCTCATCGAAAAGGTGGCTCAGTAGATGAAGGAGTGGCGGTGGGGTATCATTGGTTTGCAGAGCTTGCCAGATAATCCTGCGGTCCACAGTATCGTATGCGGCTTTTATATCAAGAAAGGCTACGACCGGGAAATGGTGGCACCGAAGATAATAATCGTGCATGATGTGATGGAGACAAAGAGTAATAATCATTATTATTAATAATCATTATAAATATTAAGATTCTCTATAACTGTTAATAAATATAAAATTTAAAATATAAAGGTTGACAAGCGTAGTGCAGTCTTAACACAAGCTTGTGCAGTGTTCCTTGGCAATGAGGGTGGTAAGAATGACTTGAAGGTGAGTCAGTTCTTACGTCTAGGTTAGGGAGTTGTCCTAAATTTAATAATAAAAAATGTTACTCTTTTTATCGGAGTTTTAAATAAATTTTTAATTTATAAAAAAAATTGAATTTCTTTTTATATAATAAAATAAGTAATGGAAACACTTAAACAAAATTATTATTATTCTGTAAATTTAACTTTAGGTCCAAATAAAAAGGATATAAAAAATAAAGAATATAATTATTTATTAAGTAGAGTATTAGAATGGAGTAAAAGAATAAAAAATATAAATGAAGTATTAGTAAATGGACCATTTTTAGATGAAGGAGAAAATAAAAATATACATATAAATTTAACATTATATTCTGAAATAAATTCTGTAGAAAATATAAGAAAAAAATATTTTATGAATTGGATAAAAACTAAAGGTTATGTTAATATAAGTCATACTAGAAATTTAATAAAATGGAACGAATATGCTGAAAGAAATCATTACCAACTTTTATATAAACAAATAATAAATTAATTTAAAATAAAAATTGAATAATTATATATATATAAAATGACTATTGAAGAAATATATGAAGATGAGTTAATAAAAATATATAATAAATATTGGAATTTCTTATATAATGATTATAATGTAATTAAAAAAGATTATTATCATCGTACTGATTTAAAAAATATTGAAGATATTTATAAAATTAAAGAAGAATTATTAAATAAATTAGGTTATATATCAATATTTTTTTTTATTAATGAAATTTTTGGTATAAAAGATTATCCTGGTGCATATAAAACGGTTGATAAAGCTTATTTAATTTTATATCATATGATATCTGGTAAATCTATATCAAAAATGAATGATTATATAAATTATTCTATTTTTTATGATATTTATAAAAAGTTTTGGATTGAAAATTATAATGAATTAAATAAAAAAGTTGATTATTATTTAGAAAACATGTTTAGTAATATAAGATTAAGATTAATATGTGCACAAAAATATAATCCAAAAGAATTTAAACATGTAACTTTAATAATTGATGGACATGATAGTAAAATAAATTATGAAAATATAAATGTAAGTAAAAGAAAACTTTTTTCTTATAAATTAAAAAAATCAGATGTAAGAACTCAAACATGTACAGATATTAATGGTATGATAATATATATTTCAAATAGTAAATTTTGTAGAGATAATACAGATGGAGAAATATTTTTAAAAATAAATTTACAAAATAAAATAGAAGAAGTTGATTATATAGCATTTGATGGTGGTTATTATTATTCAATTGATAAATTTATTGAATATAATAAAACTAATAAAAAATTTAAAAGAGAAAATTTTATATATCCATATAGAAAAATTAATAAAGAACAATTATCAGAATATAAAAAATTATTTAATGAAAAATTTGCTTCTTTTAGATCAACTATTGAAACACAATATGCAGAAGTAGGTAATATATTTAAAAAGTTTAGTAATAGTAATGCTGCTACTAAAACATCTAATATAAAATATTATAATTTACAGTTTAAAATATGTGTTTTATTAAGAAATATAAGACATTATGTTAATAAATTTGATATAGAAACATTAGAACATCATACAAGATGGTTTAGTGATGATTTTGATTTAAAATATAATAATGAAGATCATAATTATAATATTGATATACAATATAATGAAAATTATAATGAGTTAAAAGAATTACAAAATAAGTTTTTAAATATAAATTTTAATGAGGATATGATGGAAGAAGAATTATAAGAGTAATAATCATTATTATTAATAATCATTATAAATATTAAGATTCTCTATAACTGTTAATAAATATAAAATTTAAAATATAAAGGTTGACAAGCGTAGTGCAGTCTTAACACAAGCTTGTGCAGTGTTCCTTGGCAATGAGGGTGGTAAGAATGACTTGAAGGTGAGTCAGTTCTTACGTCTAGGTTAGGGAGTTGTCCTAAATTTAATAATAAAAAATGTTACTCAAAGGGCTTGGTCCAAAGCACTGCGTTTGAAGCGGAATCCTCCTTGGGCTGGATCGATGGTGGGTGAGAAGGAATGGAGTGAGGGACTGAGGCAGATCTCTAGGAGTTTACGCAGTACAGAGGTAAGTGATATGGGGCGGTAGTTTGAGGGTTGGGACGGATCGCCTTTTTTGAAGATGGGGAAAACTTGAGCATGGCGCCATGTTGGTGGGACATAGGACCATTGCCAGCATAATTGGAAAAGCGGTAGGAGAAGACGGGACAGTGTGAAGGATATGGGCTTCAGCATTTCAGCTTTGAGATGGTCAGCACCAGGCGCTTTGCGGGTAGGGAGTGAACGGATGGCGATGTCAATGGAGGATCGTGTAAAAGGACAACTATCGAGTGAAAAAGGAGTGGATGGGGGGTCAAGATCGGATGGACGTGTAGGTGATAGATGAGTTCCGCTATATACAGCGGCTAAATGGTCGCGCATCTGGAGGGTAGCAGCGGCTGGTCCGTCAGGATGAGTAAAGGACTGTAAAGGGCGGCGTCTGCGTTTAAGTTGGGCAACTTTGGCTGTAGCCTTATTATAGTCTGTCTCAAGGGATTGACAAAAGGCTTGCCAACGGGCACGTTTGGCTGTGCGGACAGCAGATCGGAAAGCAGCTTGGGCAGTGACATGGGCATTCCACCAGTATATTTTATCAATGCCTTGGCTGTGGCGCCAACGCTTGTAGCATCGTTCACGGGTATCAGCAGCAGCTTGAAGATCAGCGGACCAGAAATCTTTCCAACAGGAAGGGCGTGGGGGACGCGGTTTGATGGAGGAATCCAGAGACTCATAAATAGCACAATTGAGGGTATCTGTATATGTATCAATAGGTGGGCGGGAAGTCGGAGGGTTATCAGCCTGGTGGAGGAGGTTTTGGTAGAGGTCGGCCGTTTTGGAGGTGAAGGTGGTAGCATAGAGGTCACAAGTTGGTTCATCTTTGAGGCGGGAGAGGTTCCAGGTGCGTCGAGGCGGAGGAGGAAGGAGTGGATCAGTAGGGTCATAGTCAAAGGAGAGAGAGAGGAGCTTATGGTCCGAGCATAAAGAGAGATCAGTACGGATATGCATAGAAGGTTGGAGAAAGGAGGGTGCGGAGTTGGTAATAAATAAATCAATAATGCTGCTGATTTCTTGTTGTTGTCGAAAAGAGACATAGGTGGGTTGGCCATAGGTAAGGGAGGAATTAAATATATGGAGGTCATGGTCAAGGAGCCATTGTTGAAGCATAGTGCCGCGAGGATTGGTACGGTGGTCTCCGAGAAGAGATCCTAGTCGTGCATTGAGGTCGCCACATATTAAGGTATCGTGGATTAAAGGGATTAAGGTGATTATATCCATAGCATCAGAGTCAGATAATGATGGTGGCAGATATAGGCATACTACAGTGAGAGAACCAAGCTTGAGGTGGATATCGTAGTTTGACAACGAGGAGAGTTGGTAGACAGGCAAAGAACAGGATGGAGCAATTAGGGCACAGATTCCCATGGAGCCACGATATTGTCCAGTAACGGGAGTGCCATATAGGTGGATTTGTTGCCAAGAGGTAGGGAGACGCAAAGGATGGAGGAGCCATGTTTCGGTAATGAACAGTAGGGAAAAGGAGCGGCAATAGGAGAGAATGTCATGGATGGTAGAGGCCTGTAAACCGTTGGCATTCCATAAACCAATTGTAAGGTGTGTCATTAATTATTAGAGTAGTGGGAGGCGCGGGAAGTAGGACGAGAGGAGAAGGCACCATCAAGATCCATTTCGGTTTCAGGTTGCAGAGAAGAGGACTCAGTGTCGCTGGGAAACTTATCACGATCCACATAGGGTCCCGATGTGGTGAACGTAGCATGATCGGAGGCAAGGATCCATCCACATTGATAAAAAGCATGTGCAATGGGGACAGCAATATGGGGACGGAGATATTTGAGCGTTTGGATACAACGTTCTCTGTGGAGTTGGAGGGCTAAGGCAGTACGGTGTTCAAGTGAGTGAGATGCATATTTGGGATCGCCCAGGTTGGTAGGATCAGTGGGGTCGAAGTTAGCGATAGGGGAAACAGTAGCTTTCTCCAAAAGATCACGAACGATGGGTATATACTGGACATGGAGGAGGAGGCCAATAATGTTGCGGGCCGGGAAACTGACATCCAAGATGCGGGAGGAGTCAATACCAAAACGACGAAGTCGACGGCAGACTTCGGCACGATCCATGCGGCAGGAACGATGAAGGTAAAGATGATCAAAGCCTTGTGGGCCGGTAACAGGTGTAAATCCACGGGCATTGGCAGCAATACGTCTAGGTGATGTTAGGGGGCGAATGGGTTTGTGTTTCGAGGTGACAGTCGCCCAGTTGGATTCCATGGCACCTTTGGCACCAGTTGGGGGAGTAGCCTGTGTAGGCAGCGGGCTTTCATTCGGTTCGGGTCGGACATGGGCGGTAGGTTGCAGCGCTGGAGCGGAGAGGAACTTAGCGACTTGAGTAGTCAAATCGAGGATTTGTTGATGCAGGGCTGCGTTCTCGGTCACAAGGGTTGTGACCATTTGTTGGAGCGCGGTCACGGCTTGGACCAGGTCGGCGGTTACAGAGTTAGGCTGGGATAGTAGTTCCGCTATGGTTTGGGAACCAGAAAACGGCGACACTATCGGTGTAGCGGTGTTCATACTCTCTGGGGACAAAGAGGTAGGTGTCTGAGGTGTGGATGCAGGTGGATGCAACGCTTTTTCTGACGGATGGATGATTTTTAGGTATGGAAGTAAACGTCGATTTTTTAGCAGGGGACACTACAGTTAAACAGCGAAACCCTCCGCGTAAGGTACGTAAGGTTTTTTAAAAACCTTACGTACCTTACGGAGGGAATCCAAAAAACCTAACGCGGAGGGAATCCACCTGACTTTGAATCTTAAAAAACGTCAATCCAATAGAAATACGTTAACGTGACCTTTGGACACAAGGCATTTGATAAATACCATTGGTTACTTCATACAAAAAAATTCATTACCATTGGTTAAAGACAGATGCTCGCAGCTCGATTATTCGCTGGTTTTCATAGATCTTTAGACGAATGTTCACTTCTTATTGGTTCATGGCTAGGTTCATCTCATTTTTTATTGGGCTCAGATTACACTTCTTTAACCATTTTGTATAGCTTTCGGAGGGCTGTTGCGTATATTGTGGATATTTATTTTTTTATTCTTGTCTTCAGAAATAAAACAAAGCTATACTATGGAGCTATGGAGGCATGGAGCTACAGTATACTATAAATACACTACTTATCGAAGACTACTATGTACATAATAGTAAAATAGAAGATAGAAGGAAAATATGAATCACTATAGCTGAATTAAATCAAAAGAATAATCAAAAGTATTCTGGCTTCTACTTGCGATACAGTATACTGCCAAACATGATAAAGGGCAAGCTGTCTATGTTTATATACTCATGACAAATCCCAATGCTAAGTTTGCAGTAACATGCAATGACGATACAAAACGACGACAATGTCAGAACAGATATGAACTCTTATACATAAACATCTTCATATAAGAAAAGATATGTACAAGAGTATATACAGTTCTGAGCATTGTACAGTACATCGTCGGTGTGTATGTCAATGATGATACCGCGCACCAGTTCCAGGGAGCTATGTCATGGCTATACAAACAGAGGTACACTCCAGACCAATATCACAGTGGGCAGCATAGCAACCATAAGGAGAACCAGGATGATGACCAGCGACTGTGATGACAAAATACAAAGGTGAGCAAGATGATACTGGTCAATAAAAACTTACTTTCTCCGTGTCAACGGGATTGTGTGGGAAAGAAGAGAAAGAGGTGTATGACAAAAAGTATTCTCGGAATACATTTTTATTTAGTGGTCCAGCAGCGGCAGTTGAATCTCCTTTTTTCTCGTCCAATTTTTTTGACATGTCTGGCCAACCACCCACCGTCACCACAGCGCGTCTCACGCCTAAAAAGCGCAGAAACGAGGACACCAACTCTGATGCGCAGAAAATCGAACGCCTTGAAGCCAAGGTCCGCGGCTTGGAGCGGAAGATTGTCAAGTTGGAGCGGGAGAGTGCCGAGCGCAAACAGGTTGCTCCTGTAACAACGATGGATCTTGACTTGAACGTATGTAGCATTCGAAACATAGGATTTATGAGGTGGTCCCTTACTTTGCTTTGTAGGAAAGGGTCCGTAAACATTACGAATACTTGGGCGAACAGAAGCAGCTCTTTTGGGATTTGGAAGCCGGTTTCAATAGGAGCAGGAACCCAGATGTTGCCAAGGCCTTGATTGGCTTTATTGAGCAGCTTCCGGATGAGATCCGAAAGCCTTCGTGGACCCCACGCGTGGTACGCCACAGGGTGCGCAAGCATCACAATTCGATGCGCACAGAATATGAGGAAAAAAAAGCCGATGCCGAGGGGTACAGGCTGAAGCAGAAGCTGAAAAACTGCCGCAGGGATGTGAGTAATTTTACTGACATACGCAATTTGATTGACACTAACCTATCTTAAATTTTAGAAGCGCGACGAGCGCCAAGCAGCATTCTATGTGGCTGGCGCAGTGATACCCAGCCATTTTCCTGGTGCGGAGGTGCTGCTGCAGACTGGTCTGATGTCTGATGAAGAAGACATCATCGAGGGCAGCTGCCTCGTTGGGAGAAGGGTGCTTCGCCCTATTTGGAGGAGCGACAAGGTAAGTATTTTGGTCCGCATATTCATAGTAATAAATTTACGAAGTCATTTTTCGTTCTGCGTTCCTCGATGAGCTGTCGGCGTTTGCTCAGCAAAGAAAGAAGAGCAAGCGCCTTGGGCGGGCACCCCTGCCAAAGGAGTACGTGGCAGCCGAAGTATCTCCTAGACCAGCTCTTTGGGCAATGCTGCCACAAGAAGCAAAAAAACAATAAAAAAATATTTTAATGCATAGTCTTATCCTAGCTTTCATGACGCTTATACCTTTCATGGATTGATGACTGATAATGTTCGTTATTTCGGCATATCTTTCATAGTAAATGTCAATAGAAGATGGCCAATATACCATTTACGGATAGATAAGAACATACAAGTTACAGTTGAAATCAGCATCGTAATAGACGAGCTACATCTGAGAAAGAACAAGGCAGCGTATCGAATGAAACCTCAGAAATAAGGATTTTGATGACTATCAAGCAGTCTGATAGCATATGACCTTTCAATTCATCATGGTTTATAATTACGATATCGTGCCTTCTCCTCCGTAATCATAGGCTGTTGTGGATGCTATAACATATAATGAAAAGTTAGCCGATAATATCCCGGTATATCTGACTTTCATAACTAGTATACCTGTGCACCAATGAGTGACATGGCTCAATATGTCTACAGTCTTGGCCCTATCAAAATGTAAGTTAAATTTCAATCCAAAAAGCAAGGGACCTCATTGACGTACCGAGAACATTAAAAGCACGTTTTACGGGGCAATGGAATAATAACAATATTGTTGTCTAGCCAGGCAGAGATTGCCACAGGAGAATAGATGCACTGAATCGGCAAAATGCACGTTCTGTCCAACTCGTCGAAGGAATTCCTCCAAACATGCATTCCAAGTTCATCGAAGCTTGGAACTGTATAGGCGGCCTGCTGGTATCATCGTACGAATGCAAATGTATGCCTAAACTCTGAGGTGACACACTCATGTTCAGTCGCTAGCTTCACTTTATGGGTAAAGTAATAGAGCACTTCGCCAGGTCGCAAGTAGTATTCGTTATTCGCCGCCTTGAAGTATGCCTGAATATGTCGACCTCTATCTGTTCTTGATGTTTCCCTGCTTCTATAATCTTGGCCGAGTATGGATACACGAGGAACCTTTCGTATGATATTGGTCACCATAGTCATATCAGTGTCAACGTAATTGGTCACAGGTCGAAGCGTTTCCTCGTAACAGTTGTCATAATACCGGAAAAGACAATCATAATGCACAGGGTTCATAGTGATATACTTGTTCGATTCCTCCAAACAAGTTGATGGCGGTAGGTCTTCAAAGCCAAGTGCACCATTAACCGGTTCAGCCAACCGCACAAAATCGTCCACGTCGAAAAAGTCATTGTTGGTATCTTGAGTTACCATGGAAAGGGCTGCCATCGACGGAATAACTGTCTTCAAGAGTTGCATTGCGGCGTCGAAATATTGATGAGGAATACTAGAAAGGGAATGGGATAGGTGATCTGCACCATAGGCTTGCTCCACAAATTTCTTCATATAGGTCATCTCGAATCCGTCTTTGGTGTTTGTGTCGATCTTTTTTAGCCATCCATTACATCTTTCAAAACCGAATAACCAGAATGCGTACGTTGGACCAAAATCAAGGATCGTTTCTCGGAGGTGCATATGCAGATGCATATTAGGCATCACGCTCTCTGGACCGTATTGCTCTTGAAACATTTGACAGAATTGGCATAATAGTTCATGTGCAGCATCAACCTCCGAAATGCTAATCGATGGCTTGGAGAGAAGTTGATTTGCCCGCACGAATTTTATCCAAATCCTCAAGTGTTGACCGGTGAGCTTTTCTTTTAGAAGAAATGTCGACACAGCAAGGACCCAAGTGCGCCATTCATCAGATTTCAAGCCAGCACAACCAGAGCTAATTTTGCCTTTCGGAAGATCATAGCCAAAAGGTAGAATGATGCGGTTCATTTGTTGCGCCATTGTCTCAAAGTCATTATCGCACAAGAGTGGCTGTCCAGTAGCAGTGTTCAACGTGGTTTTCCATACTTTCATACAGTACTTCGCCGTTCCAGAATAGAGATTGTGCATAGAATCGACAATAGTGCACCGTACAAGATCAAGATAGCGTAGTCTGTGTAGTTCCGAATGACGGACACCGTGCTCTCTCTCTAGTTGAGTTCGTTCCTGCAAGGTAGATGCGTTTCTCCAATTTTCCGCCTGCATCAAATTGGCTCTAGGATCGCGACCTTCCCATCGACCAACGTCAGAGAAACCTGAAAAGTCGTGTCTAAGATGACGTCCTGGTAAAGCTGAAAATGTTCGGTTGCATTTGTAGCATGCACGTAAAGACGAGATGCCTACCAAGAATACATTATTAGTTCTGAAAAAAAATTAATGCTATGTCAAGTACCTGTGAAACCTGAAACTTTTCGAGCTGCGGGAATATCACAAGCAACCAAGAGAATAGCAGCGCGGATACGTTCTTCTCCTTCGCCAACGCCAACATACAACTGTTCTAGCTCATCAACAAGAGGCCGCAGATAATGGTTGATCTGTTGTTTGCTAGGTTCTTTGCTACCAGGAATAACGCCTGCCAAAATCACATTTTCTGGCTTGTAACGTTCCGTCCTGGGAAGATTGTTGATCGTCAAGTAAATTCCACCGACTGAATGCTGACGTCCGGTGTCAAAAGGCTGGAACCAGTCCACGTTCAAGGTTAAAAGAAGTGACCGTCCATCATCAACAAAACGCTCTCCATGTTGATCTTTGAGTTCGTTCCACATACGGCCGTCATAGATATCGTATAAGATATTTGATGGATTGCCAGTGACAAAGGAAGTGCGTTGTCTCCATAAATTGATCTTGTTAACAAAGTTTCCGCGGCGGAACATCATTTGCAGGGTCGGAATAAGAGGAAGATAGCTATATTCCTTGATGGGCACAGGACGGTTTCCAGCGGAACGTTTGAATAATCGGTGACCGCAAGGTGATGAGGATGGAGCCATTGAATGTCGCGGGATTTCTACGTGCTTGCATCGAACTTGTTCCACAGGATCATTGTACCGTTCCAACCGCAGATCGTCAATTTTTTCTGTCTTATGACAAATGGGGCAGACCACAAAATGAATGATAGACTTGACACTATCAGGTGTACCGACCATTTTCGCGAGGGTCGACAACTCAGCAGGGAATCGAAATTCCATCCCGCACACCAGAAAAATAAAATTGAGACCTATCATCAGCTGTTTCGATCGTTCCTTTGACAGATATTTTACGCAAAAATTGTAAACCCAAGTCATGACGACCCAGGTAAACCAGTTGGCCGAGCTTGGCGGCAGCGCTTCTTCGTATTCTTCCTCTACCTGCTCTTCGCGCAGATAGTCGTCATCTTCGGATAGGCCATTCAATAAGTCGTGGTCTTCTTCCTCAATAACGCCCTCCATGTCAAGTTCGGCACCAGAGTCATCAATCAACACTTCTCCGAAAACAGCATCAGCCGAATCCTCTGTCACAATTCCAGGAACGATGCTGGTCGCATGAAGAAGTTCGTCATCTACCGTTGCAAAATAATCGTCAAATAACAATGAATTGCTGCATATAAAAAATAAGAAGTCAGATTAAATAAAGGTTGAAAATTCATTGACCGTTCACTTCATAGTTACCGATTATATGAATGCCGGAATGATATATTACCGGCATCAGGAAAAGAAAGCGGTGTATTATTGGCATTGTCCGGCTCATTCATGTCAACGTCGTCGTCTATGAAAACAAAAAGAAGACGTGAGAAAGTATATCAAATAAAATACACAAGTCAAGGTACCATCGTCCCCGTCAGACGCCGGCGAAAGAAGATGGTGAGAACGACCATAAAGCTCTATATGTCGGCGAATTTGCCGGCTGGTTTGTTGTTTATGAACAACTTCGCCAGATGGGCGTCGAGAAGTACATTTATTGCAGTGGCAATCTATATAACGGCTAGAAACAAAAAGTGTAGTATCGTTAGTACGGTTAGTATGGTTAGTAACGCTAGTATCGCGGGAAGCACTAGCAGCATGAGCATTAAATTCGCGTTGATAAGACATTGCAGTAGTTACAAAAGTTGATTAAAGAATCCAGAAAGAGCTACACGAAGTGCCTAATTGTCTCTCTTAACGACGGTTGCGGCTTAGTGTTTTTTTTTTTTTCCCATCCAAAACGAGAATTCGTCCAAAATAAGAATGTTTATTCTGAAAAGGGAAGTCTGCATAACACTGAATCCCAAAATGGCAAGTTAAAAAAACCTTCCGCGTCAGGTTATTCAAAGTACCTGACGTCAGGGGCGTCAGGTTTCGCCCTTTAACTGTAGTGGGAGGACACTTTTTCGTCTGAAAGTCGAAAAAAGTGATGAAGAGCGAAAAAAGAGTGCGGCCTTAGCTCAGTTGGGAGAGCGTTAGACTGAAGATCTAAAGGTCATGTGTTCAATCCACATAGGCCGCAAATTTTTATTTTTATTATTGTCAGACCTGTGTCGTATCCTTTTTTGGTATTTCCTAAAACGTTCACGGTGTCGTACTTCACTCGGATCTGATATACAGTCAAGATCACCAAAGTGGTTTGCCAAGAAATATAGGTCTAAAAATGACTGACTTTTTATTATTCTGTTTGTTCTGTCTTTTATATCTTTTCTCTAGTTTACTGATTATTAATCTATTATACAAAAGGGTATTAGCCCTTTTCAGAGTCTATATGTTATTGGTGTTGACTCTTCGCTTGCGAGGGAGTCCGCGGGGAGTTCTGATTGGTCAGAATGGAAACAGGTCACGACAATACTCCCTCCTCAGACTGTTGATCGTCCACGAGCAACGAAATCGGGCAAGACGAAAGAGAAAAAAAAGAAATTGAAAAGATATCGAGAGGGCGAGGAAGTGCTAAGAATGAGGTGAAGGTTGGGCACGAGCAATACGCGGAATATACCAGGCTTCACGTGGGGTAATGTCGGTCGTATATGCAGGGCGAAGGCGTTCCGTGTGTACCCAGGAAGCATAGGGCTTGCCGTTGACTTCGTGGAGCTGATAAATGTCCGTGTCGAGATTGCGGTCGATGACCGTGTATGGACCCATCCAGGACGGCTCCAGTCCTTTTCGGCTTTCGTGTCGCAACAAGACTAAGTCGCCAAGGTCGAAGGTTTGGGTGTCAGTGCGCATTACTTCGTCCCAGCGGCGTTTGTCAGCTTCAGCGTTGCGTTGCATTCGCCATTCCGCAGTGTCGCGTGCGGACAAATATTACTATAGAACACAGATACTATATATGGTAATCTATTTTTAAACTCATCTACAATATTTTACATTATTATGGAATTTTTATTATATTTTAAAATTTTAAAATTTAATAATTATAAAGCATT